ATACCAGCGGCCTGCGACCAAAGCAAAACTTATATGTTTTATGTACACCTGAAAAGAAAATGCATAAAAACATTTCGATATAAACGAAATGAGTTCATTCTTTTTAAGTAACATCCAATTCGTAAATAATTTTTTTGTTGCCAAACCTGCAAACAAAAGTTTTTGACACTTCAGGTTAATATGCATGACGTCATAACTTAAATTTAATGTAATTTAAAAACTTTTTCTCAATATCAATAAAACAATTAAAGCAGCTATAACATATTGTGTCAATTATCTTAACCCGAAATTTAAAAAAAAAAAAAAAAAAAAAAAAAAAACTGCGTAGAGCAGCTATTTATTTAAAATGCTGGCATCAACGAAAAATGTTCGACATACGATGACGTCACATGCAATCGCGCGCTATCTTTAACGTCAGAATATGCCATTATATAATATTAATAATGTTTAGCAATGCTATTTTTACTTCATATTTTGTAAAGCTTACAAATTTTTCATTAAAATTAATTTCATTTTACAAATTTCTCTACGATTTGAAAGCGAGCAATGGCAACATTTTCGAAATAAAGCATTTGTATTTCCAGAGCGTAAGACTGTTGCCACCCTGAAAAATGAGGGCGAAAATTAGCGAAATTAGCGGCTGATTAAAGTCATACGAAGATAAGAATGGTCAAAATGACTTCCCACGAAATTCTGTAGTCCGGGGAAGGGGGCGGGTCTAATATTCTAAAGTCCCGCTTTCGAGACATGAAAAACGCAATTTGAATTTCATCAATTGGTCCAGTAGAATGGGTGACATAGAACTGCCACCCTTTTTTTCAGTCCAAAGGGGCTTTGTCTCTGAAGGACTATAGTTTTCGTTTTGCGATTTTGCGTTGAAAACTTTAAAAGGCTATATCATTTTTCAAATCGTTGCCACCAAATACTATCGCCCTGTCTTATATTTGAAGAAATGAAATAATAAAGAAGCTGTATAAATGTATGTATGTTTCTCGCATTTGATAAAACAACGGTAACTAGAGACATCCAAATTTGAATAACGTAATCTTCCTTAGAATATAGGCATGTGTGAACCCTAATTTGAATATGAAATTTATTTTATTTGTCAATTTCAGATTTTGCAACTCTTCAACGAATTTTTGTTTAAGTAACTAAACGATTTCAAAGCGATCAATGGCAACCACTGTGCGGGGGAGAAAATTATGTCTAGCGCACGAGACTCTGTATCGGAAATTCTAAAGATATGCTCATTTTAAAACTAATTTGTGATATTTCTGTTGAACTGAATGTTATAGTTTGAGTATGTAGAACATGATATTTAATAAATAAATGCAACACACAAAACGTTAAGAAAACGTCCTTTTGGACGTAATTTAAAATCTGATATCTTTCAGAATTTTTTTTCAACTTTTTTTTTTCTTTTTTTCGCACAGTATACAAGAGAAAATCCTCTTCCGTAATTTGGAAATTTAATACTGTAAGCTTTACGTATAATGAACTTTCTCAAAGAGGAGCGGAATTCATATTTAGCCTTACATCTAGCTCGTCAATATGCACCCGCTTATGTACGACGTCCTTATTTTCTGAATGTAATGAGTGACATTATAATGAACTTATTGGTAATAATTATCAAAAAAACTTTCTGCCGCACTTTTTAACTCCTCGAATCGGCAATCTCTTAAATGCCTTGTTATGGGTTTCATTAACAATAAACTGACCGTCATAGTTCCTTTTAATAAATAGGAAAGACGCCATCTTTCAAACAACATAGCATTAAGCGCCTTCTTTCATCTGGACTCGAGTATCTATTATCGATTAATCGATTTCTCATTTGAAAATAACACATATCCTCCTCTGCAGCCTTAAGCAAGCGCATCGGTTAGGGAAAAATAATAAGATCATAAAAAAAGGAGAAATCTTCCTCGGAGGTTTCCATCTTTACCCACTTTGTTACGATCCGCTATACCGCATATGGATTTTATTGAGCATAAGTTCCTAAAGATAGATAGATATATAAAAAAAAACGGTGGGGGAGGAGAATATACATGAAGAGAGGCAGGGAGAAGAAAAAAGTCGGAAAAGATCATGCGACATCTGCCTGGTGTTTTGACCGATGGGTGGCGAGTGCAATTCGTGATGTCCATGACAATGTTCGTCACCCCCTTCTAGGTGCCCCAGCAGCCAGACAATGAAACGGTCATTTTTGACCACTCGCAAAAGGATCTCTTGCAAGAACAATTGCAATCGTCAGTGTGATGTCTAGAATAAGAATTGTTGTTTTTCCCTCCCTTTTTTTGTTAATCTTCGATCATATTGTACTGCTATGTTACTGTTAACATTTACAGTAAAAGAAAGCATTGCTTTGGCTAGTTTCCATTGCTGAGTTAATTTTGATGATATCATCTGTTGGCGTTAAAAATAACTTTGGTATGAGATCTTCCTTGTGCGAAATGCCCGAGAAAAATTGTCAGCTGTCAATATACGGAGAGTGTTTACACATTTTTATAACGATTTTGATTTTCTCCCTGAATTTAAATATTGATTTTAAAATACAAACGGGTTTAAAATGCAAACGGGACTGGCATCAAACTGGAATAAGGTTAAATTATCGCCTAAGGTATTAAAAATATTCTTTACTTTAAAATGTCGCCGAAAAATAAATAATGGATAGAAGACTATGTTTTTGCGCGGTCCGAAGAGAAATACTCTTATTCAATGATTTAAAAAAGATGTAAAAAGCACGGTTTTAATATTTCGACACGTAAAATAAGTGACATAATCAATACGAAAGGAAAGAAACGTCAAACTCTACATCCGACTGAGAAAAAGGCAAAAAATGCATACCCAACAAAGGTACGTACAGCTCTTATTAAATCTAAAGTCGCATCTCATGCTTCAAAAAAAATCCGGCCCTCCCCCTCTCCAAAGAGCTATTGCAGAATATTTAAATATCTCTGTAGGAATTGTGAACAAAATTATAACATCTCATTTAAAGCTCATTTAAACAAAAAAAGATGATGTTCATCGCCTAACACCGAAACATCTTCCTCGGAGATTACTGCATGAAAATTGTTTGGCAGGTGAGAAATGGAAATATATACTTACAATTGATGAGGCTTGGATATACTTATCTGATTACAATAGAAAAAAACAGCTTTTACTATCGAAAAAGAGGAGAAAAAGACTTAACCTTAAATCAACCCGGATGTTTTAGGAAAAGGACTTTTATCTTGGAAATCAAAATGCAATAGGATAGCTCAACAAAAGGGCTATCAGATTGATCATATTAGAAAATAACATTCTAAGGTTTGTTTACACATAAATATTTGCAATATCGTTGCAAAAATGTGTAAACCTTTTCTGTATGCTTTTATGTATAATATATAATCTGCTTTGAAATATATCAATTGCAGTACATTAACATCCATTTCGATAAGCATTACAAAATTTAAGTTTCTTCTTTTTCAACATCAGAACGCAAATCTGAGCGATGCAGAATTTCGTTTCCCCCATTCCATTAAAACTTCAATTGCTGCTATTAACCTTTCCTTCATATGGACAAGATTCTGAATTGTTTCGCAATAGTTCGCTGTTTTCAAGAGAATTCAAAAGAAATCAATCGAATAAGTTCTGAGATTTATAAGGCGAAGGCAATGCTCATTTTTTACACTGGTACAGCTCATCCCATCCTGGGAAGTGAATATTTAATACTTCGGTAAGAAGTAAAATGTGACGCTAAGGTGTGGGTGCACGGGAAGAAGAAAGTCGAAGAGGAAGATTTGAAAACCTTTCATTAGCCCAAAAACACACCATTTACTTTCCTGACATCCCTCTTAAACTTTATAAATTTACGCCGACCAGATTGTTAGATAAAATTTAAGCATAGATTAGTGGTATAAGTTGCCACACTCCCGAAATCAAACAAGTTGGTGTTCTCCTTTCTTTCTGGGTGACTTCATGGCGTAACGGTAACACACTCGGCCCGTATTCGTGAGGTCCAGGCTCAAGTCCCGGCGATGGTATTGCTTTTTTTTTAATTACTCCTGCTTCAGATAAACATAATAGACTCTACAGTGGCACGCGAACCAAAAGGTAGTGGATGATGATTCTTCCCCACTAGGATTTGACGACTGGACCCCCTACTCCCCAGTCACCCTTTAAAACGAGAGCATGTAAGGTATTTTCTCCCTCCTTTCTGCATACCTTCGTAGTGTAACGGTACCAAACTCGGAGCGTAGTCGAGAGTTTCAGGATAGAGTTCCGTTGAGGGCATTGCTCACTTTTCACGTGTCCAGTATCAAAATAACCTAATGACTGTATAGTGGAACATGATACAATTTTTGATAGTGCATTTTTTTGCAGAGTTTTCAATACTTAACAATATGATTCAAGTTAATGAGATAAAAATAAGTGAAGTAATTAAAAAAGTATATAATCAGTGACAGTTTCTTATAGTAATACGTTATTGACTAAAACCTTTTAGGTTCTCTCATAAGTAGAAGATCTGCTTGTATCAATTAGCTCTACTTTCATATGAAAGCAATGGCATTGCGCCCTCAGATTTTGGAAAACGCAGCTACGAATTTAGAATAACATATATTGATTAATAAATAACACCTCATTTAATATCCGAAATCTTAATATTTCCTTATATTGTTTTGGTTTATTTAACATGCAAAGAGATGCTCTTCCTGCATGACTTTTCAAGGTAAACTGGCTCTTATACATGTTGTACACGGGGAAAACCACGAAAACACCCATGCAGCCACGGAACGAACTACTAGTGTTCAGCGGCTTTACCGCTCGGCCTCTGGTCTCGAATATTTCATTAGAAATTAAGTAATTGCAGCCTCATGAATAAGTAATTGCAGCCTCATGAAGAAATTATTACAGAATTTTTAATTAAATATAATAGTTACTGACTGAAAAATTACTCACTTGTTGATCAAAGGAAGCAGGAATATTCCATTTTGTCAATAAAATTTACTTTGTTTTTATAGAGCGGATATGGCAATACACAGCAGCATCGATCAAGAGATGTCTTTGTGGAGGCCTTTTCAGGAAAACAGGCTCTCATCCACGTTACACATGAGGAAAACAACAAAAACTCCCATGCAGTCAGCCGGTTCAGAGATAGTTCAAACAGTGTTCAGTGACTACAGCGGTGGTGGACATTTACTAAGTTTTGGTTTACAGTTTAGAACACCTATGTATGACCTTTTTTCATGCTGTTTGCTTTTTTGTATTTCTGCTACTGTCTATATCTGATATCATTTTGATTTGTAAGCAATTTAAAAAATAATAATCACTTTCTAAACTGTACTAAATTTGAATTATTCAGTTTAATTTTATTCACTTTGTAATTTACACATATGCACATAAATAAAGAAATTTAATATAATTTAAAATAAAATGTAAGTATACTTAAAAAAAACTCTCATTAAACATTAAGACATAATCAATCTTGATGATAATTTTTAATTAATGAAAAATTCTGAATTATTCATTACTTTTTTCAATAATCATTTAAATATAATTCAGGAATCTCATTCTGTTGAAAATTTTCCAGCTGCTTGAAGATGCCCGAGGAATTTTCAAATATTTGTTACATTATTATATTTTTATGTTATTTCATTGAATTGTTTTGTTTTTGTTTCGATATTGATTTGTGCTCCTATTAGATAGTTGACCACCATTTCTGATATAATTCCTATCTCTTGTTTTTATATATATAAATATGCAAGACAAAAATATGTAAAGCAAACTTCCAATTTTAATTGGCAATTGTCCCGTCATTTTCTTCATTTTACTTTGGATATTTCCCCTTTCTGTCCTAAAAAAATTGTTTACAATATTTCAATCTAAAGCGCATCATTTCAAAATTAATCCCTTTCATGAGATCTTACGTAAGGGCACAAAGCAGGGCCTGCTTATACAATCATTGAGTAAGATTTCTATTGAAACTGAAACTTTTTTCTCTGTATTTCACGCTTCTTCCGAATGTGTAGTGTCCTTTTTCGCTTTTGCCATCATTTGGCTAATATGCGTCACTACCGCTTCTACGTATCTTCCAGTATCTTAAAACGACCTATGTTTGCAAACATATGGGATGCTTATGGGGTTCATAATAATGTGGGAATCAGATATTGTGTCTCCAGAACTGCTTTATCCAATAACAAATTTATGTTGAAGTCGGGCACATCTGTCCGCATATGTCATTCTTGTACCTACGAAGTATAGCCTTGCCAGGTTACAACTACCCCAAAACAACCACCAGTCTATTGCAGCCATATATAAAGTATTGTTGCGAAATGCCCAGCTGCGGTAAGAAGCTTCAACGCAAAGCGGGGTTAGGGTTGCCAAAAAGTGGCAAGGAGACGCAGGGTTGTCAGATTTGGCGCGAAATCGCCCATTTGGAGACGAAATTGGCGATGTGCCATAGATAGAGCGAGAACATTCTAGAACGAATTCTTATCGGTTTTACCAAGAATGTTCTCGAAGGCAGGTGAAAAGCTATATATATTCTGCTGTACGCGGAGTAGAGCAGTATGAAGAGTATGTTGAATTCAGTAGTCGTGTTTTGAGTTTAGAGATTCTCTTGAAAGCGACCGAACCGAGTCGGGAGCTGTACTTTTGTGCTTTGTCGTGAAGCTATTTTCACCGTAGTAGCCCGAAGGCTGTGTTGCTTATTGTTTCAGCGCGTTTTATCGTAGATTTTCGACGACTGTAAACGTGTCTTTGGAAGTCTCCTGTGGCAAATAAATTGTGTTTCGATTCTTCATCAAGTGTTGTCGTCAATCACTCCAAATCTGCGAAGGCAACAATATATTACATACCTACTTTTGTGATATATACATATGTGTGTGTGTGTGTTTGTGTAAGAAAAAGAATATGTAAAAGATTAAATTAGCAACGTAAATTTCCCTTCACAATTCTAAAATAGTAACCCCCCTCTACACTGTCATTTCGAGACTATTCTATGTCATATGACTCTTACGTAATTATTATGATGATGTAAATGGAACTAAAACTCAACCAGCCAATAATAATTTTACAGCAATATTAACTGTCCAGTCAGAATGCTTTGAGAACCAAAACTAACTCAGTTTGACTTAAGATTTCATCCTGAACATTACGCACTCTCTTTCTACGCTTTGCCTTAACTAGACTGCTGTCTGTCTGCTGCCTTTCTTACTACAAAGTTATCAAAAATGTAAGCCTTTTGGAAAGGCGCATTTAATGTGCCGACTTGTGTGTAGCCGCAACATGTTGCTGAAAATAAAACTGAAGATTTAATCTACCTTTTTTCTAGTCATTATGGATTTCTAGTCATTATGGATCAACAATTTTCTAGTCATTATGGATCAACACTTTTACCAATCAAAATTCCTGCTCCTGAATATTTGGTTTGCAAAAACATTTGATCGAACAAGGGAAATGAATTGCGATCACAGCTCTCATTTCTAGTGGGCAATTCTCAAAGTATAAAACCAGTAATTGAGGCCGAATTTTTTTTTTTTTTTTGTTTCTGTCATTGTAATTCCGTAAAGAAGCAACTAATGACGCCATTACGACGATGTTGAAGACCTTTCAGACAACCAAAGGACTTCGAACGTGGTTGAATTGTAGGGTTGCGTGCAGCTGGGTCGAGCAATAGGTCGCCACCTGCAGCTTACAGACAGTGCTGTGCAAAGATGTTGCCAGCAATGGTTGCTACAAGGAAATTGCCGACGAAATAAAGGCTCTGGAAGGCCAAGGAGCACAAATGCGACGCAAGACAGGATGATTGTTTGCTAGGCCCAAACCGCCCCAACGGTATCATTGTCGACAATTCAACGCACTACAGCCATGTCTATACCTCGCGTGGTACCGTTCACCATCTCAAGGCGGTTGTCTGAGGCGGAGTTTCCCTCACAGAAAGGTTGTGGGGTTTAAGATTTTTGCCTTTGACCCCACAACATCGGGGGAGTCGTCTGGAGTGGTGTCGTAGCCGATTGTCATGGCTGCCATCAGACTGACATCGTACAATGTTCATCGATGAATCGCGCTCACTCTTGAAGCAGATGACCACCGTGTTCGTGTCTGGTCCCTTGGTGTGATAGTGTGGGGCTCTATTTCTTATGACAGCAGGTCATCTTTTGTCATCCTCCGTACATCGATAACAGCTCAATGATATGTTGTTACCATCCTGCGGCCGGATGCATTACCCTTCATGGCACGTCATCCTGGGACCATTTTCCAATAAGATAATGCCAGGCCACTCGCATATCTCTGGACTGTCTCCGTGCGGGTGATACTTTTCCCTTGGCCAGCAAGGTCACCAGATCTTTCCCCAATCGAGCATGTCTGGAACATGGTAGACCGCCAAATTTGGACACCACAAAATATCACAGATCTGAAGCGACAATTGATGAATACCTGGCAGAATGTGTCGCAGGATAACATTAGGGATCTCTACCATTCCTTGCCTTGACGAATTCAAGCATGCATTGCCTCTAGGGGCGGTTAGACCAACTACTAATTTGAACACTCAATGGGTGATTGTGAGCCGCGAACAGGTACTATGACCTTGATTTTTTAATGATTTTATTATCTGTGTATGAGTTATACACATATTCAATGTCATCAAAAACAACCACTTCCTTCATAATGATTTGATTTTTTTTTTTTTTTTCAAAAAAGTGTATATGTGATGAAAGCAAACTTTTTGATGGCGCAGATGTAGAAATATTCTATTACGTAGACTTTTGATCCAGAACAAAGAGAAACTTGACAGCCGAGGTGAATCAAATATTCATTTTTATTTCGGTAACAATTTGCGGCTACAAACGGGCACACTACTCTTGCCTATTTTAAAACTTTTACATTTTTTTACAGCTTTTCATTAAGAAGAGAAGCAACAAACAACTGAAGTGCAGAAAGCAAGTAAGTTGTGTTTAGAATGAAATCTTAATTCAGAATGGGTTAGTTTCGGTCCTCAATGCATTTGATTGGATTATTAATACTCCTGTAAAATTATTATTGGCTGTTTAGTTCCCTATACATCATTAGCGTTATGTAAAAATATGACACGGATTAGTCTCGAAATAACGCGGCGTAGGAAAAGGTTCCTATTTTTATAATACAGAAGGGTAATAAACAAATTAAAATGAAGCCTTAAGGGGCTATTGCTAATTTAAATTTATATACTTTTTTGTTACATATATACTCTAAAACATATTTTAATTATTTGTAGAATCCATTTTTTGACAAATACATTCTATGTTGTAACCTGTATTATGATTAGGTATATTTATTCATGTTTTTAAAAGTCCACTCTGCATTATATTATATCTGTTTTTGAATAGGTAGCTGGAATAATCTCCAAAGATTAAGCTTCTCCAAATACAGAATGCTTTGCCGGGCACTGTAATCTTCCTCAACAGATGAATTAATTTAGGTGACATGATGGCAGTGGATATGAAAACTCCCAGAGCATCAAAGCCTCTTGATAAATTTGAAACAACACTTTTTTCTGTATCGGAGAAAAATTTGAATAAAATTCAAGGTTATGTCTCTAGTTCTTCGTGAAGAAAGATGTGTTTGTATAATAAAATGATGTGCAGTGCAAGTATTTAACTCTTGTTAAAACTGTTAGGTGGCAGTTTAATGAATCCATTCATTACTAAAATCGATTTCGCGTATACATCCAATTCAGATTTTACTCGATTTTGATATACACTCTGATTTAGCACAGAAGAACCTCATTGTGCCATACATACGTACATATGGCATAAACGAATAGCGAAACTCAAAAACGAATAGCCTCAGAGCGTTGAAATTTTGTATATAGGACTGCTATAATATTTAGTTCTGCATATCCCATTTTCGTTGCTTTTGAAATTTTATATATAGGACTGCTTTAAACATGCAGTTGTGCACTTCCCTTTTTGGTTATAATCAGCCGTACCGAAAGTATATATATGCATATACCCGCTCTGTTACTCGGCTCGATGAACTTGCTAAATTGTTCATTTTTGGGTTTCAAAATGATTGAATTATGTTGTTTGTATGTTACGGTTAAGGGTTTTATGCATTTATCTAATCTGCATGCAACAGCTGTAGAATTATCAAGAATTTAAGTTTTAATTAAGTACGGCTGTGAATGTTGGGAGCGTATCACAATGTTGTGAACAGCACTGTACGCGATCCTCACCAAACGATCTGTGCAAGAGAGCTTTCACACGTGTAGCCATATCGGGTGGAACGCCATCCTGTATTAACGTCATACCTTCCAACAAGTGTTTATCAGCTAGACTGGGGATGATGCGGTTCTGTAATGCATCAGTGTACCTCGCACCTGTCACACTGTCAGTCTGAATAACCGAACACGCGTTTCCTCGAAGGAAAAAGGTCGGATCACGATTTGATGTCATAAATCCACACGACACTGTGACCAACACCCGGACGATAGCAAATAGAAAAAGTTATGAAGGGCCTGATTCCCTCGCTCACTCCAGCAGCTCGTTTCACACATGACTCTCATTCTTTTTTTAAATTTAAATTTTTTCTTTCTTCCCCCTTTTTTTTCTTTTATCCTTTTTCTCTTTCAATAAAACCCCAATTCATTTCAAGCATATGTGTCAATTTGTACCTCTCTACCTACATTATTATGTAAATTATTGAACTTTCAAATGTTAACGGACATTTGGATCACCCTGTATATAAGCTGCAGAAATTGAATTAATTTTATTACTATACCTAGTATGTTATCATTAGTCAAGGTCAGTAAATACACTAGTCACCTGTGGTGTATTTAATTATTTAATTATGGCAAACCACACTAGGGCTATTTGTCTAAGGGATGCAGTCGTGGAGGACTTTCTAAGGGAAACTGGCTCGTATACACGTTATACATGGAGAAAACCACGAAAACACCCATGCAGCCAGCTCGTTCGCGGGATTCGAAACTCGGACCGAACTACCAGTGTTCAGCGACTTTACCGCTCGGCCGCTCGTGAGCCCCACTAGTCACCTGTGTGGTTATTTAGTGTTTAAAACGGAAATGAAGTTAGCCTGTGACTTACAAAGGGGCTTTGTTCCCGAGGGACTATTGCTTTCGTTTTGCGTCGAATCACTCTGAATGTGCATTTCACTTTTCAAACTGTTGCCACCGACTATTATCGCCCTGTCATAATAGTCATAATACAGGGAAGACCCAATCCTCCTAGTCCCACTGGAACGTATGATTATAAAGGGTCGACCCCCTCAAGACCACAAAAGGAAAGAAGAGAGAAAAAGAAGCTAATTAACTAAAAATAATTGAAGGTTAATTAATAAACTAATTATCGCTCTGTATTATATTTGAAGAAATTAAATAATGAAAAATCTGCATAAATGTATGTATATTTCCCGCACTGTGATAAAACAAAGGTATCTAGAGCCATCTAATTTTGAATGACGCCATCCTGCTGCGAATATGGGCATATGGAAGCCGAAATTTGGAATTTGTTTCATTAACGATTTCCTGTTTTGTAAAAGTTTAACGAATTTTTGATTAACAAACTCAAGGATTTCTAAACGAGCTATGGCAACCTTGTACAGAAAAAACATTTGCATCTCCACCGCGCGAGACTGTGTAGCGGAAATTCTAAAAATAGGCTCAATTTAAAATTATTTTGCGATATTGCTCTTGAACTGAATTTTATGGTTTAAGTGCGAAGCACACGATATTTAATAAATAAAGGTAACACAAAATGTTAAAAAAAGGCCCCTTTGGACGTAATTTAAAATCTGAAACCTTTCAGATTTTCTTTTTTTATTGTTTTAAAATGGTAATTAAGTTAGCCTGTCACTTATTTAAATTTGATTCTGTCACTTTTCAGAGGAGTTTGATAGTTCAAGGCTCTAGTTAATAGTAAAAGCGGGAGCTAATGAGTGTAGACAGGGACCTTGTATTTCTGTAGGGTTAGACTTCACAGTCGTTCGTGGAATAATATTAGTGATAACCTACCTTAGCTGTATGTAATATATGGTAAGGAATGCATGTTGCAGAAGGAAAGAGGTGGTCAAAAATGGCTTCACATGCAAGATTCAGAATTTAAGAGGCAAACCTCTTTACGAATGCGGCCCGTTAGAATCAAACCGCGGTATTCGGAGATTTCTCTTATACAGGGATAAACTTTTTTCTTGCCTTTTCTTTGAGACTGCCTTCTCCTTTTTTTCTTCCTTTTATCTTGTGGTGGGCCGCAATATTTTTTTCAACTTTTTTTTTTTTTTTCTTTTTTTTTAGGCTTAACAAAAAAGGACGAATTTCACTTTTCGGGGTTATTCATTCAAGCTTAGGTCCGCGGTGACGGCAGCGAAAGGCGGATCGCATTAGGTGTGCTTTGAATAAAATGCGAAGCGCGGAGGTTGGGGGTGTTCGGGGCATGATGCGGCTTCTGCATGCTGATCAACTCTCAGACTGTCAGGAAGAGAAATATCAAGAATGCGTCTACCCCGAGTTTTGCAAAGCCGCTTTATCAACGATATTTTTTGGGAGATGAAATAAACAAGAAGCTTTCCATTCGTACGTAAGTGGTGCATGTGGTAATGAATTGCGAGAATGACGTATTTCGGCCATTTGGACATTTCCAATGCAACTTACGGATGAAATCAATTCTTCCAACAATGGTTATTTTTCGAACGCATTTTATTCCTCTTTCCTGCATGCCTTCTCGAGAATGTAATAATTTCTTCTAATAATAATGTATGTTATGATATGTATATGTTATGGTTTGTATTAAGTATATGTCTGCCCAATTGTAGTGTTAAGTGATAGGTGATAAGTGAAGGTGGACGTGGGCACTGTCCTTTTACCATAACGGTTAATCAGTACGGCATCCCGTCCATCATTATCTAGAGCAGGCCAGATGCTCACTGTCATATTTACTGTAGAAATTTTATCCTTGCACATTTACATTAAACTTGTATTTACACGTTATGCTTGTGTATACGTCTGTACATTTTAACATATACATCTTAACCTCACATTTGCACAATTGACGGTCTGCACTTATACAGGCACTGCGGAACATAAAACCAGTGCTCAACAGTTGCGGGTACGCTGTAAAAAAAAATCTGTAAGGTTACTAAGAAAACTCATGGAAACTGGGATGCCATGGGTTATTTGAGTAACAGAAACAGGTGTTTTCTTTGTAACATTACAAGAGTTTTGCCTGTAATGGTTACAGATCTTTTTCTTGTAATATCACAGCATATAGTTATGTAAGTAGAACATATTTTTCTCATGTAAATTCCCAAACGATATATCTGTAATGGTTACAGATTATTTGCGTGCAATATTACAGCAAATAATTATGTAAAAAGAACATTTTTTCTCATGTAAAATCTCAACAGATATATCTGTAACCGTTACAGGTTATTTGCTTGTATTATTATAGCAAGTTATGTGAGTAGAAGATACTTTTCTTACGTAAAATTCCAATAGTTGTATCTGTAAAGGTTTCAGATTATTTCCTTCTAATATCCCATTAAGTAATTATGTGTGTAAAATATATTTTTCATAGATAATACTAAAGGATATGTCTATAAAAGTAATAGATATTTTGTTTAAAATGATGCTTATTATAATAAAATATACTGAAATCAATATGTTTTGATTAAAAGAATGATCTGTATGCAATATATATGCAAGTGAAGCATAATAGTTTGGCTTTTTAAATTAGTCAATTTGACCTCAGAATAGCATTAACTTAAAGATGTGCTTTCAACAGCATTCAATGTTCTTTTTCAAAAAGTAACGTTATTCTGTTACAGAGTATTTTTGTTTTATGAAGAGAAACTTATGTCTGATATTATTGAAAGGCCTTTCATATTATCATTTTGATTAATTTAAAAAGTTCAAATTGATATGCTACTCCTTATATTTGCCCTGTAAAATAGCCGAAAAAAATAGCATGTTTTATTTGCATGTTTTAGTGTCAGTTATAAGATATGTTCTAGAACTTTCTTTTTAGTAATTTTAGCTAAAATAGACACATGTTGCTTTAGATTTAACTTATATGAGTAAACGTGTTGCATGTTGATATGATCATATTTATTACAGTAAAAGACATTTTGTGAAATATTTCTATGAAGAACTCAGAACAGCTGTTCTTCATATTTCAAAAATAATATATTCTCTCCTTCTAAAAAATGACATTTTCAGTAAATTAAAGAATTCAACATAGCAATGAACTTAATTTTGTTACTACAAGGAATTCAAAATTTTGTTCATACGCTTGAATTACAACGTCTAACTAATTTTTTATTCTTATCTGCACTCAGTGTTTGTCAACAGTCTGCTATTGTTTGAAATAATGCATAACTTTTTAACTTACCTTCAAATAATTTCCTTTGAATTAACAGATAGAATGTCTTTCATTAAAAACCTAATGTCATGCTTTTTGAATAAGCATAAAACTTTGCCAACTGACCTTTAATTTTTAAAGCCTTGTTTCCCTTAAAATTCTTAATACAATTATGCCTTTAAGAAATTTATTTCTAAAATTAATACTTCAGTTTAGCTTTA